GACTACTTTTTTCTTTTTGTTATTAGGTTTGGGTGATTGTATAGAAATCCTGCTCGTGTCGAAAGCTAGTGTTCTATTGCGTTTACTTCTTCTTTTTCCCGCCGTATAATCACTCATCAGACTTCAACTCGTTTACCCAATTAATTTTATTAAAAAAAATCAATTGTCAATTAATAGCTGTGGGTTTACTTTTTTGTTGTGCCGAAATTTAGATTGCCACAATTTCAGATAATAAAAGCAGGGGTGTATGACTTAATGATTTAAAAATAACTAATTTAGAAAAGTTCTTTAAAAAACAAAATATATAAATACCAAAAAAATGAACAATAGTAATTAATAAAATAAAATATAATTAAACCTATAAGTGTACTAAACATATAATCAAAACGCACTAATAAGCAGAACAAGTAAAAAAAAAATAAATAATTAAATCAAATAAAAATAAGAAAATAGTAAATAAACTAAAATAATAATCAAAATAAGTTAAGGACAAAAACCATAAACAAAAACATTCAAACACAAGACAATATCAATAGTTAATAGTGATTTAAACAATGACGATGAGAGTTCGTTTGGTGTTTTTTTTTTTTTTTTTTTTTCAATTGCTTTTGAGGTTGAGTGTGTGGACTTATTTCATTATGTTATAAGAAATCCTATCACGCATTATAAGTGTCCTTTTACGGTTGTTCTGGTGTACTGCTAGACTGGACTTTACATATTCACTTATTTATTTTGTTTCAAAGACAAACATTTAGAGACGACCACCACGGCAGTTTTCCCATCATAAGAGAATACGGATCTCGTGAAGGAGGTTAAATTTTCTTTCGTACAATACAGTTTGCGAAAACTTCTTCACGAACGCTATTGTACTTTTCCTCTCTTATGTCATCTCGATTTGACGACTTCGAAACAATAAATACAAAAATTACATAAAAACATAAATTTGAGGGTAAAACCACGGCAGTTTTCGAAAGAAAATAACGAAAAAGATCTCGTGAACAAGTACTTCCGTACAATGCACATTGAGATGCTTCACCTCAAGCTTTGCACGTTTCCCTTAGGTTATACCCTACGTCTATTTTTTCTACTTTAAAATAAAACATACAGAAACACAAAAAAAACAGGTCATAAAACACAATACATTCATTGTTACATGGAACTAACAAGATTATTGCACCTGACCCTTGTAGTTGGAACGACAATCCTAATTTTCTAAAAACCTCATCTACTATTGCACGTTTATCACAAATTTTAAAGAATTAAAGCTGCGTCTGCAACATGAGATAATCGTTGTAAGAAAATGTGATTTTCGCTTATGCCTATTTGAACCCTATAGTTTATTGCACTGTGCTAAGCTGTTATTGCACTGAATTTAAGACATTATAGCTTTCGATTGGGCGCCATATTGTTACGTGCCACCTGCTTCGGCACTATGGTGTTGTGGCCGCTAGCTCAGGAGCCATGTTCAGGGGTTGGTTCCATCCCATACACCAATAGCCTTGGGGACGAACAATTAAACAATTAATGGATAAATACAAATTCTACATAACACAAACACTACGTACACCTGGAACAAAGGAGTTTGATATTGCCACTCCCACACTAGCCCGCCCAACCTTGACCCTGAGATCCTACATAACTGTCAATTTTATCAGGGCCCCGTATTCCACACCCACTCCCCTCAGTACAATGTACACCAAATTCACTCTCTCATGAATGAACTAGACAATCATGATTACACAAACAATCATATTACGAACAATTTATTAATATATAAGATTTCCTTAAAATAGAACAAACAAGCTGAAATTTGAAACATTAACTATCAGGATCTCTTAGTCATTGTTTGAGGAGTTCATATATATCAGACCACCCTTCATTACTTCAGTCAACTAAATGTCACCAAATTTTGGACTTTCTAAGTTATGCAATTAGTACCTGCCTAAACGAGCTCTCTTAGGTGGTGAGGGACCCGCAAACTGGTCCACAATATTCAACGGAACCTCAAAAAAAATCTTGATTATAACACTCAAAGTAATTTGGGGTAACCCTACACTCCAATTTACTTATAAAATTTAGAATAGTTAATGTCCCTCACAAAAACAAGAACATTTATGCTGGACACAAAAAAAAACACAAATAATAAACTTAGACAACACAACTTAACCTAAATATATTATCTTAATTAAAAATTTGAATATTATATTAGTTCTTTCTCTTAATTTATATGAATTTTTCTGCCTTTTGCTTTTTCTTAAAATTTTATTTAATGGAATTTCTCCTTTTTCTGTTGCAGGGTCTCCCTCCTGGTTCTGGTTTTTATTTTATGCCAGTGGTTGTATCAAACAAGCGGTAAGTTTAATAAATAACTTTGTTACCTGGCTTTTTGCATTCTTTAGTACAACCTGCTTTGTTCTTTTCCAGGATCACTCTTCCGCGACCTCGTCCACCAGGATAAAGCAGAACCCGGATATCATGGATCAAGGGAATTGGTGTTATGGAGGCGGTTGCTGGGGCCTCAATTTTGCGTTGTGGTGGTTGCTGTGGCCGTCAAAGATGGGCTGACCTCTCCGCTTTTGTTCGCCGAGGAGGCCAGTTGATACCCTCGAGAAATTTAAATTATTTTGGCGAAACACTGAAAGACATAGAAGCACACAACACAAAAACACTCATATATCTACACAATTATAATTCATACAAGGATCACTTACAATCAATTACTAACGCCTTCACCATAAATAATAAAATAAATATCGAGGCTTTTATTGCCTTAAAAAAAGTAATTTTTATTTTGAAATTTGGCAGGTTTTAATTTTTTTTTTACTTTTATGACCACTATTTTACTGTCGCACCACTTGAATAATAAGGGCGCGTTTTCCTTTTTCCCCCTTTTATACCTACGGGAATGACGCGGCATTTTTCCGCTTTTCGGCTTTTCCTTAATTTTTCCTGACATTTACCTTCTTTATGATACCGACCTAACGAGCCCTTACAATATCGCAGGTGGTATTTTCGATTAATTTATCTACCAAATAATCGATCCAAATACAACACTGGCAGTGGTGGCAATTCTAATTACCATTGGGACAGAACATTTCCGCTTCATTTTTTAAACACGGGTTGCTGCGGTTTGCACGTCGCGGATGTTAGCTAAAAAAAACATCAATTAAAAATTAAATAGTGCCCACCACGCAACATAGTCTGGCATAAGACAAAGCAAGTTCCTATCTCTGATTTGTATGTATACAATCATGGCACAATTACAGAAGGTATGTATGCATTTTTTACAGAGATAGTGGCACGCTTATTTAAAAGTAACTGGTATTCACTGCATTTTTTCACAATGACATCTTCATTTTAGTTTAAAAATAATAAACAAAATGCGAATTTATATATAATTATATTATATAATTCAGTTCTTCAATATAAAATAAACGATTTGCGTCATACATTTTTTTATTTAAATAAATTTTGCTATTATTGTCATATTATCAATAAAAAAATATGACAACATAAATTCAGTAAACCTTATTTTAAAAGATAAAGGGAAGATGGTCTGACCTTTTGCTTTTCGGACCGTTCATACTTAAATGAAACTTGAAAAACGATTTATGTGTCCGACAACATCACTTTTTTATCTATCGGAAAGATGTAAAAACCGGCCTATTTGACACTATAAGACTGCAGCATATAGTTGCATTTTTCTACTTTCTTTGAAGTTGAGCAACCTTCTTATTGAGCCATGGATTACATGACTTTACCTTCTTAGTTCTACCATGACTGGGACCAACGAAAAAAAAACAGAAGAAATTAATGTTGCAAAAATTATTGAATCGATTTTTGCAAAACATAATGACGAAATCAAGGGTACCTCCGTAACAAAATGGGGAGGCTTAACAGAACGATGGGGAAGGTTCAACAGAATTTGAAGTCCTAGTTACCCAATGAGATTTGGAGGTGCAAGTACATAGAAGGTTGTTTTTACTGGTTTAAGTCATCGGCTGGCTTTTTTATAAAAGAACAAAGGTTAAACAGTTCAGATCTTATTTAAAAGAAAATCCTGACATGTTATTCAATTTCCCCGCCATTTAACAAACTGTAAATATTAAAGTGTTTCTGCACAGTTTTTTTTCAATGGTGTGTAAGCCAAATTATAAACAGTTTTCTTCATGTCTCATTCGTAAACAACCCGGCGTCGTGCATTACATTCATTCGTAAACAACAGAGTACCCCGGGATTTTGCTTTCTGTTTAGTTTTGTATCGAAAAAAAATTTTTTGACAAGTGACTCCAACCAAATTTGAAAACAGAAAAATATTTGTAAAATGTCAACATTTATTCAAAAAGTACAAAACACGAATGAAAATTGTTAAATGAAAGACAAAATAAATCTTTTGAGAATTTTAGTACTAAAAGTCGATTATTCAATTAATCGAAAGTCGACTTACCTATCCCTAGGGGTCTCTCTGGCAAAGGAAAATAAAATTTTGAGGATTGTGTTATTTCCCAAAATATGTAATATTTTTATTTTTACTCTCCGTCATGGTAGAAGAATATAGGTCGACGCGTCAACACAGCTGCTGGGACAATGAACTGTCAAACCAATTTTGGAATTGAAATTGTTGAATGAAAAATTTTTTAAATTTGTAAAAATTGTTGAAAAACGCGAATTATAATAGCCTCCGAAAGACGTAGTATAAGAAAACATATAAAAATCTACTTATATTTGAAAAAAAAACATTTAATTTTTTTGACATATAAATGCTCCCAAGCGTTGATGCATCTACCTGTATTTTTCTGCCATGCTCTCCGTGGGCAATATGCAATGTCCTCGGTGGCAACACTGTTATGAATAGTCGAGTACTCGGTTTTCACCCAACTCCATTATCCAGTTCGGCAAACGATAGTAGCAACTAGTTCCGCGCTCTTTAGTGAAGATGTGCAATTTTCTCATGTCTCATTCGTAAACAACAGAGTACCTCAAGTCTTTGCTTTCGTTTATTTTTATCGGGTATTCCTTTGTGGCCTTCATATTCGTTTCGTTGGGACGTTTTTCATATTTGTTTCCAGCGCTCTTTTATTGGATTCATCTAATTGTTTAAATTGATTAATATAAAGTGGATGATGGTGGCGTTTTAGAATTCTAATTAACCTAATTAACAATAACGACATTTATATTTGTTTTTGTTTTAAAACAATTGTTATTTGTGGTATTTGTCCAAAAAATTCTTTGAAAAAGTGGCGTTGTTTGCGAACGCATACTAACACAAACGCACACACGCATCATTTTACTCAATAGGAAAAATGAACCACCAAAGGAATTGGGGAGAAAATATCAACGAATATGAAGTCCTGCATTTATTGGGAAAAGGAGGATTTGCTAGTGTGTATAAAGCACGATGCCTCAGGAGCAACCAGTATGTCGCTATTAAAATGATTGACAAAAAACTTATCCATGGCGCCGCCATGGCTGACAGAGTGCGTCAGGAAGTCGAAATACATTCACGCTTGAAACATCCATCGGTATTGGAACTGTACACATTTTTCCAAGACGAGCATTATGTGTATTTGGTGCTTGAGTTGGCACATAATGGTGAACTTCAACGTTATATGAAGTCGATAATGGGCCGCCCAATGACCGAGGGAGAGGCTGCTGCAATATTAAAGCAGGTTGTTGCTGGGCTTCTCTATCTGCATTCGCATAGCATTATGCATCGCGATATTTCTTTGTCAAATCTTCTGCTTTCCAAAGACATGCACATCAAGATAGCTGACTTTGGTTTAGCCACACAACTGAAGCAACCAAACGAACGTCATGTAACTATGTGTGGCACTCCGAATTATATTTCTCCTGAAGTAGTTTCACGATCGTCACACGGTCTTCCTGCCGATGTTTGGGGTCTTGGATGTATGTTTTACACTTTACTTGTTGGACAACCGCCATTTGATACTGATGCAGTGCAGGCCACTTTAAACAGAGTTGTTATGTCGGACTATCAAATTCCATCGCATATATCTTTTGATGCTAAAGATTTAATCAAACAGCTCCTCAGGAAAAAGCCAGAAGAACGTATCAGCCTTCAGCAGGTTTGAAACATCCATTTATGTTACGATTTAGCAAGGAGACAGTCACAAACACCGAAAACAGAATGGACATTGGAAATAGTACTCGTAGTCAGTTTAGTTGTGACAGTGGTATTATCACCTTTTCATCGAGTAATGCATCAAATTCTTGCCCATCATTTCCGAAGTCAAATGTAACGGAACAACTCCCATTTGCAAGCCAACCATCCAACCAGCATCCTTTAGCCCCGGTGGATTTTCAGAATCGAGTGAGTGTAAAATGCAGCACGAATGGTAATGTAGAAAGAATGAAAACAGAACCGTTTGGGGAAGAAAATTGGAATTGGATTCGACCAAATTGCCCAACGACAAGATCTTCTAACATGCAAGCAATATACGGATGTCAATATCGGACAATTGCTCGGGCCAGACTTCCCTTCAAGCAAAAAGCTGTGAGCCAGAAAGACCTTTAACAGTGCCACCACTAAACACTACAAGATTACAACCCACGCGATATAAGACAAAAAATGCAATAATGAGTATTTTAAAAAGAGGAGAAGTTGTTATAGAGTTCATCAAGTATAGAGCAAAGTACAACGCAGATCGCGTAACTGATATATGTTGGATATCGGGAGATGGGCAAAGCGTAATGGTTTATCAACCCGATTCGGGTCGTGGACTGCCGGTGAGTGATCGTGCCCCTGATCCACCGCCTACTTCGTCAAATTGTATCTTCTCATACGACACTTTGCCTGCTAAACACCACAAGAAATATGCCTATGCGGCGCGTTTTGTTAATCTGGTGAAAAGCAAAACACCCAAGATTACATACTACAGTCCTCTTGCAAAATTCGCTTTGATGGAGAGTTTGGAAGATTTTGAAGCCGCATTTTATGACGGATCGAAGGTTACAAAGTCTCCTGGAGAAGGTATCAAGGTTTTTGATAAGCATGGTCGCCATCTTACACAGGCAGATGAAACTCAAGCGTTAATTGATCACCAGCAGGCTTGCCTCAATCATTGTAAGGCAATAAGCAAGGCTTTGGAGTTGGCAGAGTTGCCTGGAGGTCATAGTTGTTTTCCCGTCGTTATAGGCAGGCGGCCGACGTCGGATTTGCAGGCACAGCACGTAACAACGAACAAACGAGACACCAACAACATATTTTCTTCGACGCCAAAATCCAATCAATTGCCCTCGATTAACTTCTCCTTAAGTGTTAACCCCAATATCGATTTTGAAGGTACCAGTAAAGAATGTCAACAAGAGTTCATAGCCTCCCAACCAAATTTGCCCATCAAACGAGTCAATATTCCTGGAATAGGCATGGCCACTGAACTTTCACATGGTGTTGTCCAAATCCAATTTCAAGACCACTCGGTTATTTCGGTGATACCAGCGTCACAAGGAGGTGGCATTACATATACACACAGCAGTGGGGTTTCCACACATTTTGGTCCACATGACGACCTGCCTTTACAGGTTAGAGAAAAGATGTTGCACTTACCCACCATTGACCGGATGTTGAAGCAATCTACCGACAGTTTAAGCAGAAACTATCAACGACCACATCATCCTTTATATAACGGCATTGTAACATCGACACCGTCAACGACCACAAAACAGCACATGAAGTTTTTTTAGATAAAAACTTCAAAATGTGTAAATTAAATCTATGCTTAGAGCACAAAAGACTCAAACATACAAAACATTTATATTTAGTAATTACGAGTTTAAAATGTTTAAAACTACCATAAACATAATTTAGTAAATGGTCTACGTTACTGATCGCCGTAGTTATTTGAGAATGACTCAATTTATATTTTTGTATTTAGAACTTATTAAATATATATAGTTATAATAATAAAGGGTTTATTTATAAATACAACGACATGCATTTTTGACTTTCATTATTTTTAATGTAAAGACGGACGAATATTCCGGAATATTTCCTTGGGAAACATATAATCTCATGCTGCATAAATATATTAACAATTTATTTTAGGACCTGTTCCTGTATATCGAAACGAAATATATTTGTGATTTTCTAATGTTTAAATTTATTTGATTTAAAGTTAAATCCAAAATTTGAAATACGCACCTAGAATTAGTGTTTTTTTTCGCAGATACAGTCCATTAAAGTTTCATTTTGTCCACTGACAGTGGAGGAGTTCCAATAAAAACATGTTTCTTTCTAAGCCGTGTAACTTTTATCTTTGTTTCAAAGTTCGAGAAAAAACAGCTTTTATAATTGATAAAATTTTCAATTGCTTGTAGCTCTGAACATGGACCGAACGATAGACAATTTCAAAGAAAATAACATGAAATTAACTACTTGGCGACAACGAACCATACTGGCAAATGAATGGGAGGAAATTTCTGAAGATATTATGGAATACGTTTGTAATTTTACTATGCACATCGACGACACTCAGTTAAAAGCATATTCGCAGTGGATAGAACCAAAAAGGAATGTAGAAAGTACTATACTAGTCTTCCCAACATGGGATGAAATCGATTCTGCCTATGACAGCGAGTCCGAAATGATGTTCGAACATGTTGATAATAACTGCGACAATATTGAAAAAATCAACGTTCGTGCGGAAGGACCACGTAATACAATGGATAACTTTCTCACGGGTAAGACCAATAGAGATCCAAACAAATTTTATAGTGCGAGGGAAATACTTGTATTACAAAATCAGAAAGTAAGTTATATAAGATATGATTTTAATTTCAAATGTGGTAAGAAGTTTTTTTATTCTTGTAGTCTGAGGGAAACATAGCAAGAAAACCAGAAGAAAATGTTGTTCAAACGGCTGATTTTTCTTTTTCTGCCACAAAGAAAAAACTTGGTTCGCTTGTTCGAATTTGCAACACAAATAAAAAGAGTTTTGTACCACCCGTGCGAACAAAAAGGCATGAATGATACATATCTAGAGTATTTAACAAAGTCTTTATTGACGTTAAACAAATATATATATTTACAGTTCACTGGTCCCTAACACTTTTGAACAGAATGCTGAAGAAAATATGGAAGACGGTACAGATTTGTCTAATGCTGCCTTGAAAAATATTGATCCCAAAATGGTAGAAGTCATAAATAATGAAATCATGCACAAGTTTAAACCTGTTGGTAAGTCGTAGTGTATACATTCTAATCTTTATAATACTGATCGTTTATCACAGATTGGAGTGAAATTTCTGGTTTAGAATATGCCAAATCGATTATTAAGGAAGCCGTAGTATATCCTCTTCTACGTCCCGATATCTTTACTGGTTTACGAAGACCTCCAAGGGGTATACTGTTGTTTGGGCCTCCAGGAACGGGCAAAACATTAATAGGCAAATGTATAGCTTCGCAATCGAAATCAACATTTTTTAGCATCAGCTCGGCCTCATTGACATCTAAATGGATGGGCGAGGGTGAGAAAATGGTTCGAACACTTTTCGCTGTTGCTGTCGCTAGACAACCATCGGTAAGTTGTTATGCAAAAATATTGTGCACGCGATAAAATTAAGGCATCACACGTTACAAAAAGAATGAATTGATGAATAGTTACATTTTTTACACCTTTTCGTTATTAAGGAAAATATTTTGATTAATGACTTTTCAAAGAAAAAAAATCAATTAGGGAAGGATAAATTTATATTTTTTAATTTTGACGTAACAACTATTAAAGATTTTTAAGGCATATTTGTTATAAGTTCATTTTTTTAGAACGGAAATTCTCTTCCAACATACCAGAATGGCTTAAGAATAATATTACAATAAGCCTTAAGCTTAAAAAAATCTTGAGTAAACATTGAAAAATTGTTGTGTATCAAATATATAACAATCGAAATTAAAACCTTACAAGCATATACTTGTAATAGTAGAACCAGCTTACGAAAGTAATATTATATTAAGCTGGTTTTTGTAACAGTCTAAAATACTTATTTCTTTCATTTTTAATCATTTTACACATTTTATTCATTGATTGCCATCCCTGTTGTCACTGCCTCCTGTGGCCTTGAAACCTTGACGCTTTCTTTTCCCTATTTGAGCTTCTGCATATCCTCCACTAATGCTACACTTCCATTAAATTCCGGCAACATTTTTAATGCGATTGAAATATACACCACAGTTTCCCAGATTTATTATTCATCATTACCTTAAGAATTCGATCCTAAATTTGCATGATTTTTCTTTTTACCAAATGAAAACAAATTTTAGCTGACAATTTTCACAACAAATCAAAACAAATTTGTCAGCAAAGGACAGATTTGAGAACAGTTTGTGCAAAATAAATGTTTCTCAAGCATTGTTGAAAAAACTAACTACGTTTATAATATTATTCTCAAGCTGTATTGTCGTCTTATATATTTTTGCTATGTCGGGCTACTATTTTTGCTTTGTTTGGACACACACAGAATAACATCATTGTTGCTTTAGGAAATAAATTGTCAATCTACCTAATTTGCATAGAATACTAATTTAATAATATAATATAAAAAAAATCTACAAAATTAGGATCAAATAAGCTTGATTTGCACTATATTTCTCAAAATTACAAAAGTTTTGAAGGCCCTTATAAATTCTTGTTGTATTATTCTAGTTGTAGCAGTTCAAATCTGTTTATTCATTTTGGCGTGCGGTGTAAATTTATTATTGAGATTAGAAATTCACTTCTATTTTTATTTAATTTTTACATTAGGTTTTAACATGGTACAATGCATGGTACAATGAAGAGAAGGTAGGTCAACTTTGAAAAAATTGCAAGTATAGAGGTCTACCTGTTTGGCTTGTAATGTCAGAATTAGTATCAAAACAATAAAAAAACAAAACAACTTGTTGCATTTATTTTGAATAAATAATTGAAAACCGCGATAACTGAATGAAAGGTCAACACTTCTTTCAAAATCATGTACTATATATCTCTAAAGGATTATTTCGCTACAAAAACTTTAGATTTTGTCGATGCATACGTTGAAATAAACATTTTGAATACACCCGAATTTGAATATTTTCTGAACAATTTTTTTGTTATTGAAAAGAAAACACATA